AAACGCATAATAAATGGGAACGGATTCAAATTCTGGGTGTGCTTCCCAATATTCGTCAAGAATCAAGTGTAACTCTTTGAGCACGCCCCAGTGCGGAAACAGGCATGAGACAAGACCACCACATTGAACTATATCATGAACCAATCCTTTATGATTTGGTTTGATTCGGAAGTAAGTCAGAGTCCAGTAGATAAATTGGACAACATTCTTGTGGCCACTAAAATGTTTCATGAAGTGTGTTTAGCCGATATGCCCTTTTCAAAGACTTTGTAACTTTTTTGTTCGCCACTTGTCCAGCAGTCTCAGTATTTTTTTTTTGCTGCACTATTTTATCGTAAGTTTGTAATGAATTAAATGAGTAAACGACCTTTTCCTGACAAATTAAGTATGCCTGAAAGTAAAGAAAATACCAAACAATAAGCTCCTTGTCCTCCAGTTCACTTATAAATTCATACGTATTTAATCAATGAAATGCGAAACTTATACGATTTTAGGGATTTTTCATTGTTTGGACACACTATTTCTAATGATACTTAATATAGTTAACCCAAATGAAGACATTCATTTGATTGGCTAATTTTAGTAGATCTACCTGTGAACATAGAATTTATACTGATATATGTCGATTTAATATATATATACGGTAGAAATTAAATTAATCGTCGTCGAAGTACTTTAATAATTTATTAAAGTACTTTAGCTTCACAAGACATGTCAATTTTAAAAAATAAAAGCTTTAAGATCTTTACTAAAACAACAATATGCTGCTTACTAAAATTATTGGGCCATGTGTTATTACTATTTGCAAGAGAGTATCAACTCTAAAATTTTATTTAAAGCCTATACTAATAATAATACTTTACCAAGTTATCTTCAATTAGGCAATACTGTTTGTACAAACTATTATAATAAAATTGTTATAAATAGTATATTAGAATTTAAACAATATTCTCAAGATATTATATAGTAAAGTTAAAAAAGTAATTAAAATTAAAAACACTAATATAATTTTATTTTTTTCTCAAGCTATAACAGTGATAATGAATATCTTATATGATTGTAAAAACAAATAAAAAAATTTAATATTATACTTATTTGATGAGTTTAAAGAAACTATAAAAGAAAAAGATATGATTAAAAAATTTTTTTGATAAGTTGTTTAACCTACTGTATTTTTTAAAAGTAAAGATTTATAAATATAAGTAAAAAAGCAAGTTTTATTTATTTGCTGTTTTCTTTACAAGATTTATAACAAGTTTGTAAATAATACAAAAAGAGACTTGGGAATTTATATTGATTCTGTTAATGCTTCTAATTTTTTATTAGATACTTTTGTTAATTTGGATATAATTATAATATTACACAGGTTGAATGAAACTATACCGGGTAACAATTGGGTAACCAATAGGTCTTCTATATTAATCTGGCATGTATACAAAAGTTTACTGACAGATAAATCCTAAATGGACTATGATATCAAACAGATATTTGGCAGAAATAAGATACCAATCAGAAATATTTAGGATCTAAATCAAATAGCCAGTAGGCCTATTGATTTACACAATAGGTAATTTATTTTACTCAAAATTGCTATAAAACCGGATACTCATTGGAATAAATTAAGATAACTATCAAATAAATAAAAAGGCTACCAGTTTTTCGATACTAGACTTAATTTGATCTTAAATATTTCTGATTTGTATCTTATTTCTGCCAAATATCTGTTTTAAGTCATAGTCTATTTGGAGATATTAAGGAACAAAATCAATTTTCTGGTAGGCCTTTTGTTATACCTAATTGGTTCTTATTTTACTCGAAATTGCAAGTAAATTGGATACACTTCGGCTGTATTTAAAATACTTATCAATTACTTAAAGGCCTACTAGTAAATCGATTTTAATTTTAATTATTTCCTATTGGTCTTCTATTTCTGCCAAGTATCTGTTTGAAATCGGAGACTAATCAGAAACTTTTAAGACCAATATCGTTATGCCAGTAGGCTATTAATAAACCCAACTGGAATCTTATTTTGCTCTAAAGTGCAAGAAAACTGGATACATTTTGGGATTAAATAATATACCTATTGTTATTTTGAACTGGGCTATTTTTTATTTATTTTTATTTATATATTTATATAAACGTTATAATGTTTGTTTTATAGAAGTATTCGTATGTTAATATATTTATTTAAATTGAAGTATAGCTTTGATACTTTTATATATTGCTATAGCTAAAAAAAAATGGTACAAATCTTTTATAATTTTTTAAAATTCTTCATCTTCAGTAGTGGCATCTTCTTTGCCATTACCACTTCTATTTTTACTGCCACTTCTATTTTCACTGCCACTTCTATTTTCACTGCTACTTCTATTTTCAATGCCACTTGCATTTTCGCCATCACTTGCATTTCTATTTCCACCATTATTACTATTTCTACCACCACTTGTATTACTATTTCTATTTCCATTTCCACTACCACCACTATTACTACCATTCTTTCCATTATTGCTATTTGCAACGACATTACTATTGTTGCTTTCACTAACTTTCTCTTCATCATCACCATATTCATCATCTTCACTATCTTTATCAGAAATGTACAAAGTTGAAATAGACCAAACTGGAGTATTGAGAGGTAGTTTTAATCTATCTGCCCACTTTGCATCGCAATATTATCATTTTCTAGAGCATTTAACATAAAAAATTTCTTTTCCTATTTTATTGGCAAGTCGAAGGATTTTTTAACCTAATTATTTTAAAATAAAGAAAATAAAAGTAAAGATTATAAAAATTTTATAAAAAATGTTAATAATAATTAATTACTCTTCGAGATTTCTATTGCTTGTCATAAACTTGAATCATATGAAAATTATCTTTTTTTTTGTAATTCAGGCAAATTTTTAATTGTTGTTTGGATTCTGTTCTTTCTATATCTGTTTCCAAGACTTCATCTGAATGGAAGCCTTTTTTGTTTATTATATCTTCGATATTATCTTTAAAATCATTCTAGCTAATAGAAGGTGCAAGTTCTTTGAGGTTTTTATCATGGGTATTAATCATATGATTAAACCCTCAGACTCATCACCTTATTTTTTATAAATTAAATATGGATCAGTCCATCAAATAGTTATTTTCAGAGCACATGATTATCTTCCAAGCCATACCAATAATTCGATAGTTATATTGTATAAAAAAAAAAATATACTTACTTCACCACAATGCGTATTTATTTCTTTATGCCTTTTATCAAACTTTGCTTTTTCTGGATCTTGTTTGATTTGCCATTTTTCATGTCGATGCCAGTAAAGGCTTTGGAGGACATACTTTATTTCACCTAGATTATATCTGAACTGACTATTCAAGCCTTACCAATAGTTGGTATGATTTTTTTATTTACATGCCATAATATTTCTGACCATTTTTTTGTTTCATCAATACTTAAAGTATCATCAAAGCCATTTAATATTTGAATTACTTCATTCTATATTTAATTAAAAAACAAACAATTAATCAAAAAAAAAATAAATGATAAATTTTTATATTTATAAATTATAATATTACATATATGAAACAGTTTATACTGTTTTTTATCCATATTTTGCAACAATACTTGTTTCTTTTTTGAATACCTAAAGGGTAGTTCTGGGCTTAATGATGGTTTTTGTGAATTATTTTTAGTTGGTTTACCATTATTTTGTTGTCTGTGCTTTCTCTTTGAACTATTATTTGATTGTTTTTGACTCTTTTTTTGTATATTAGAGCCAACAGGTTGAACTTCTAAAGTATCAAGGTTGGAAAGACCAATATTATTAAATAGACACGAAAGTCTAGTAGTACTAGCCATATTCTCATTATCACTGATATTATAAGTATCATCAGGATGAAGACCTGGATCATTATTACCTCCATCTAAACGTATAGCAGGAGTTGTAGAAGTTGCAGGAGTTGATGATTATATCTTAAAATCCTTAAATTTATTAATTAAGGAATTCAATACTTTTTTTAAAAAATCGATATTTATAGAAAAGTTTGTTAGACATATCAATTTCTAAAAAGCTTTATCTATTAAGAACTTTATAAAAAAAAAAATATAGCTTTCAAATTACCTGAATTTTTTTTGGGGAGTTTTAGAACAATGCGAATGTTTATAGCTTTGGCTTTGGCTATGGCTTTTGATGGCTTCATTTATTTGATCATTGTGGTGATGTCAATTGAACATGGCTTTGACCTCTTTGTAGAGACATTGGTGTTGAATGATAATTGCAACAAAAAAATGAAGAAACAGAACAACATTTAGACACTATGTTAATTTTATATGAGCTTCTTCTATATATTTTATCAAAAATTGCAAAAAAAAAAAAAAAAAATTATTGTCTAAACGAGATACCAGTTTTTCAAAAAAGCAAAAAAAAAAAGTATTAAAAGATTTTTTTTTTTGATTAAGCTATCATTTGTTCGGTTTATTTAATAAAAGAAGAGAAGGGCAAGAGAAATGTTACTTATATATATTTTTTCCTGTGATTTACTTAGTATATAAAATAGAATGACAAGTTAACGAATGACTATTAAATAAAATATGAATGTAATGAAAATTCTAATCAACTAACATGTATAGAAAAAAAGTATAATATATTTTTTTTTGAGCAAAAGAGTAAAATCTGCTCATATATGCTTAAAGCATGACTTATTTATAGATTTTTGTCAGATCTTATTTGAGTGCTATCAAGAGAAAACTTGTCAACGAGATTTCAATTTTATTTTTGTATCAAATACAATTTCATATTAAATTATATAAATTAAAACCGGTACTAAATATAATTGGAAGGGTGTGGCGACCTAGTGAAGTGGTGGGGTTGCTGCACCCCCAAGCGGCAGGTCTAGAGTTCGAATCTCACGGATAACGATTTTGAAAATTAGGCCTGTGATACGGTTAACGGTTATCAACGATCGGTTGGGCTTAGATATCTGTAACCTTG